CTCCGCCGAGAAGAGACCATCACGGTTACACACGCGGTTGATGTATTTTAAATAAGGTCAACTTCGGGTTTTCTACAACCGGACGTTAACAAATTCCCATCTGCCCATAACCGCGGGCACGGCTTTCGAAAGATAATACCCTGCAGGGGTGTCCCAACTTAGCCCATGACAAGCTCTCACGGTCAACGAAGGAATAGACCTCCACCCGAGACGTTCCGATCAGACTCGGTATCCCGGTACAACAAGACATTTCAACAGGGTAAAACTAAACCAGCAACACCGCCTGAATGTGCCAACAAATCCCGATAGGAGCTGCACATATCTCTTTCTCAGGGCACACTCAGATGAGCAATCCGTACAACTAAAACCAAACCTCGAGTTTCCCCGAGGGGGCGCTGCACAGGGCTCTAGTTCGGACCAACACTCAGAGGAGCACTGGCCCGGGGGGGTTAAAAAATGATGACCCTTGAGTCTGCAGAACCCAAGGGAAAGAAAAGGCTAGGTGGCAAATGGTAAAACCAATGTTGGGCATTGCTGGAGAAGCTTTACTTAAGGCGAACTGTCAAGGGGTTCCCATTATAGCCCAACTGCGTAAGGGACGCAAAATCCGGGAACATAACACCGATATGACGGAAACTAGGGCGGCAAGAGTGGAACAAAACACCAGGCATAAGGCCGAGCCTTCCACCCTTTACCAAGTATATAGATGCATTAATTAAATAAGATATATTGTGATATCCCAACAAGTAAACATGTTCCAACAAGGAACAACATCTCCATGTTCCAACAAGGAACAAACTTCAATCTTCACCTGCAACTAACAACGCTATAAGAGGGGCTGAGCAAAGCGGTAACATAGCCAATCAACGGTTTGCTAGGACATGGTGGGTTAGAGGTTGACATGGCAATTTGGGAGGCTGACAAGCAAATGGTAGGCATCGTAGCATAGGCAAGCAAAAGAGCGAGCAACTAAGCAAGCAAAGATAGAAGTGATTTCGAGGGTATGGTCATCTTGCCTGAGATCCCGCAAGGAAGAAGAACGAATCCAAGAAGAAGACAAACGGTCGTAGACGAACAAATCCTCACAACTCCGGAACGAAACCGAAGCTAACGAGAGAAGCAACCCGGAAAGAAACAAACAACATAGTAAACACACAAGCATAAACAAGTCATGATGCACAAACAAGTATGATGCATGTCCGGTTTAATGAGGCATAGCATGGCAAAGTGCAACAAACAATACTACAAGTTAAGTGGAGCTCAATATGCAACGAGGTGCATGTTTACGGAACACCACATCAATTATTTAGTTATCTCTCGTTTAAGCTACCCAACAATATTAACTGTTGTTAAACATGGCAAGAGGTGAAGCATAATATAAACTATACCATCTAAACAATTTAAATGGGGCCGGATATAAAAACAACAAATCCGGTAAATCCCCATATTATTTAGCAATTTAAAGCAAACAACAAATTTAAACATGTTAAATGTTGTTATCATGATGCGGATGACATATACAAGTTTTGTGCAATTTATGAAAATGTTGACATGAGCATGTTATGAAGCATTTGGTCACCATGGCGGAACAAAAAGGGTGCCACGACGGCGAAACAAAAATGGTGCCACGGCAACATTCCGGTCCCGGTAACTCATGGAGATACCGGTGCAAAAGGAGGCGTGCGGATGTGCGGAACATGCTAGAGATGGTGGGGTGATCCCGGTTACCGGGTTCCCACGGGACGGTGGCATGGCAATAGAGGAACGTGCAAAGACAATTCGGTCACGGTGCAAACATAGGGTGCATCTCATACAACACATGCATTCGGTCCACGAACGGCGTCTCGGGGTTATACCTTCGAAGCGTGCGTTTAGGGCGGAACGCGTTCGTCGAAGGAAGTAGTGGTACTCGCGGGTCGTCGTGGGAAGTAGAGGAAGTAGTCGTTCAAGCGTCCGATGGTAATGGTACTCGGTCGTTTCGAAGAGGTACTTGGGGTCATTCGAACTTGCCGATCTCGTCATCTCGAAGGGGTACTTGACGTTCTTAGCGATCCCGAAGACGAGGTAGAGGTACACTTGTTGTAGGGGTACTTGTCGGATCCACGGCGACAGTAGAGGTACAAATGTTCTCGCGGTACTTGTCGGTCCAGTCTTGGTGTAGATGTACATCGCAAATGTAGTGGTACTCGCGGACTTTGGCGTCGGTAGTCGTACACATGTCGTAGAGGAACTTGGTCTTGCGAAGAGGTACTTGACGGTAGTGGTACTTGACGCAAAACGCACTAGCTGTAGAGGTACACGACTCGCAGCCATCCATGGTCGTGGTACTGGTACTTGACGTCCACGGAAAATTAGCAGCGGAGGCAACGGGTCTCAGGTCCTAGGTCGTGAATTTGAGGAGGTCAGCGGGAGCTGGGCCGGAGGAGCTGGCGAAGCTGGGCCTTGGCGAGGCCGGCATCGGACCGCGTGGTCCCTGGGTAAGCAGCCAGGGCGAGAACGCAGCCCAGGCGCGGTCGAGGCGGGCGTCCTCGTGACGCTCCTGATCCTGCTCGATGGAGAGGGCTGCGGGGGCGGCGCCTAGAGGTGTAGGGAAGCGACGGCGAGGACGAGGAAGCAGGGCAGCGCTGGATCGAGAAGACGGACGGCGGCGGGGCACGAGACACTTGAGGGCGCGGGGCGCGACGGAGCTTGACGGGGTTGAGGACGACGGGTTCGGGCGGTGAAGGAGGTGCAGCCATGGAGGCTTGGCGCTTCGCGCGGGACTTGGGCGCCGGAGGACGACGTCTGCGGGCGCAGGGCCTCGCTGGTGGCCCCCTGGGCGCGACGGCAGCGAGGTGGTCGACGGGGCTCCGGCCTGCAGTGGTGGCGCGCGTCGGGCCCCAAGGCGATGAGGAGGAGGTAGTGGGATGAGGGAGCGAGCGAGAGGAAGGTGGGGATCGAGGAGAGGTGGATCGAGGGATGCGGTCTCCCTGGCGGCGCTGGGAACGAGGAGGGAGCGAGGGGGATGAGGGAGGAGGGAGAGCTGCGCGCTGGGCGCTGCGTGCGGAGGGAGAGAGCGAGGGAGATGAGATCGGGCAAGGAGGGAGGAGAGGGGATCGAGGGGATCGGCCACGAGAGGATCGGGCGCAGGGAGCTCGTCTCCCTGCTCGATGCGTGTGTAGGCGGCGCTGGCAGGGAACGAGGGGAGAGATGGGGTGCGTGGGGGCTGGGCTAGGGTTAGAGGGGCACCGGCTGGGCCTTGGGCCGGCTTAGGTTGGCCGGGCCTAAGAGGCCGGCTGGGCTGCAAGGCTCTCTTCTCCCTCTCTAAAGAAAATAAAAACAAAACAGAGATAGGAAAGAAAAGAAAGAGGGGTTAGGGGAAGAAGTAGGACATGGGGATAATTTCATGGACTCACAAAAATGAGTTTGGTCCAAGAAAAATAGAAAGGCCATGATCGAAAGATTTAAATTCAAACTCATTTGAAATTCAAATGGGTTTGAACTAGGACTTGATGAAAGGAAGGTCCAAAAATGTTCGGATTTTTGGTGGAGCTCCGGAAAATGATGAAATAAATATTGGCAAGGTTGGAGACCAAACTTGAAGCAGAAAAGGAACGAAATTATTTTGCAAGTGTGTTTATGGGTGATTCCGAATTAGTGGAATATTTTATATAGCTCCCTAACAATAATAGGAGACTTTGAATATGTTTTAAAGAGAAATCACCATGTGAATATCCCTCGATTTAAATGGACCGAAGATCCATACGGTTTATTAGATGAGTTTTAAAAAGGGTTGGATGATGACATGATGCAATGCAAATGAAGCTAAGAAGAAAGCAACAAACAAAAACATCACACGGCGAAACTCGGAATAGCTAGAAGTCTTCTGGAGCGTCGGTCTCGGGGCGTTACATGAACTGCGATGACATGGACGACCTCACCAAAACATGGCATGATATGGCAAGGAGAGAAATCTTGAAGAGGAGAATGGTCGCGTCGGCCGGTCCGTGTTACAGTTCCGGAGATGTTTTCTCTACTCCATATGGTGGAAAATGTCGATGATTTCGGTGCGGGAGTTGGGACAAGCGCCGGAGGTGGATTCGCTGGTGCCGATGAACTTGATGGCGCGGAGTGAAGATCGACCAAGATGATGCCGGACATGGCCGTAACTTTTGCAAGGCCCTCTTTTGCGTTTCTCGTACTGAACTTGGCTTTTATTTGCGCGTGAAACTGTGTTATGTTGTTTGAATTTGAACTTATTTGTGGGAACTTATGTCAAATGCGAGAATTGAGCGTTTTCTGTTTCCGGGTCGACGGGGCGGTGTCCGAACAGACCCTGCAAAAGACGACCCGTAAAAGAAAATATTCCGCGAATATCGTTTTATATGGGTCCTTTTGGAGGGTCTGCATCTGCGCCGGGCCGAGCCAGCCCGCAAAGGCGGTTTCCCCCGAACTGCAAATGCGTTTTGCGGGACCGGCGGGATGTGGGGTCTGCTAGAGTTGCTCTAATCGCTGCATATGGTCATGATATCCTCGGTACAAACAAGACATTTCCATTGCAAAGACGTTACTAAAAGTATTTCACGAAATATATCAAAATTAAATGATCTAATTTTGGATATTTTACTGAGATCTTTGTAGTAGTTCTATATGAGTACGAGAGATAAGGAATCCAAAATTATGCTAAGCCATGCATAAACACAACTACTGGTGCAATACGTGACAAAATATTGTATACCAAAAACAGTTGCCCAGAAATAATACGTAACAATTATAAGCGAGACATACTTTGTACTACCTACTTACCAAAATTATAAGACAACTAGCCTATAAAAACGTCTTATAATTTTTGATATGGAGGGAGTAGAAAATGATAATGCTGAAAATTTACTTCTTATGTTCTAACTATCTGCCTCTTACTTTGCAGACAAATAACAATGCCGGAAGTATCTCGTAACTAGCTGAAATAATGATAGCGATATTCACATAACATATTTTGCTGAAAATGAGAACGCCATATATTACCTCTTGTTTTGTAGTAGTTCTCTTAGCTTTGTAATGTATTGCCATTCTTCCCAAGTGTCCATATCTCTTGTGAATTCAGAGTTGTGGGGCACTTGTGAGATCACACTCCTGATAATTTTCTTTGGATTTGGCTGTTGGGAGACTGAGACAAAAGCATGACAATCAAAATGCCTTTGAATCTTGTGATATACTGCATTTGCTAGTGTTGTTTTTCCCAATCCACCGAAGCCCACAATAGACAAGACCTTGCGACGATGATTGTTTCCTTTTTCCATCCACTGGGCAAGATCATCTCTTGGACCGTCAATACCAACAAGGTTTTCCTCCCCAGCAAAAAGAGCAGCCAGCCGGGGATCTACAGTGGCATGGCGCGCCATGCTACAATCAGTGCCAGGTAGCTCATAACTGGTCTTGAGGTCTTTCACATCCTTGATACGACGCTTCAAGTCTTCGATTTGGCTGGCGATCCCATGTCGAGCTCCAAGCGTCTTTAGACGCCGAGCAGCTTTGCGAAAAAACTCCTTGTAGCCGCCATCATGGCGGTTGCCATTGCCGAGGTGGCGCATGAACTTGTCAAACAGACCCTCGGTATCGTAGGCTAACTCCCTCACCAGAGATACCCATTGCTTCACTTGGCGACCAGGGTCCTGGAGTGTGGCGTACTGATTTAGGGCAGTTTCCATGGTACTAAACTCAGACCGGAGGGAGCGGATCTCGCGGCGGACCCCTTTCAGGCGCTTGGACTCATTGGCGAGCAAATCGGCGAGCTTCCCCAGCAGAGGACCCAACGCGCCCAGTGCAGCGGTCACCACTCACCACAGGCGTCATCGGTCCCCTCCCTCTGCTCCTGGCGTGGTCGTGTCAATCTGTGAGGTGGCGACCACTAATCACGAAGCAGCAGCACGCGGACAAGAAGAAGAATCAAACGGCTGCAGCACGGATCAAGCAAAACATCAGCAGATCGAAGCAATCAAAGCATCAGTAGAACAGATCAGGCAAAAACTTGAGTAGAACGAACGAAGCAGAGCATGAGCAGTACGGCACTCACCCCCGGTGTGATGTCCAGCAAGCCAAATCACCGCGCACCGCCAGCCCGGTGATGCAGCCGCGAGCTCGACGCAGCCTCCGGGCGCGTCAACGAGATCCGCGAGCCGGCAGGAGAAGGGGATCCGCGGCCGCCATGGAGTGGAGTGAAGTGGACTGAGAGGTGCTATCGACGGTCCTTGGCTTTGGATTGGCCCTTCGCTGTAGATACGAGGTAGTGTCCTAGTAATTGTGGGACTGTAGACACCTAATGATTGCTGGGTGCTCTCTTTTTCTTCGTCTCTCTGAACTTGCGAATGATTATGCTGCTGAAATTCTAAGCTCTGTACGCTGCGGACGGGAATCCAACGCGCGCACAGGAGGCGACGCGTTGGTTCGCGGAAGGTGACGGCCAAACCGTCCGCGCCAGCCAGTTGCTGCCCCACTACCGACCCAGGAAAGACCAGCAGCGCCACAGCGGATTACCATCCTTCGTTTGTTCTCCGGTGGAACTTTGCTTTATTAAAGGGCGAAGTATGTAAAAGTAGGTACTCACTGAAAATCTGAAAATTCTCACGTGGTCCATCAGATCTATAACGTACGACATTGATCAAAGGTGGGATCTCTAATGATCCACTTAAACACAATTAGCAGATAACCCCTTGTTCTCGGATGCACTGGAAACACCAGGGCGCTCGATTTCACCACTGCGGCTGGTCTGTCGCGTGCGTGTCTCCTACGCAATCCCACTCCTCCGCTACACGGTGTGCATCGTCGGTGAAGCTGCCGAGGCGGACGTCGCGGATATCCCTGCCTTCCGCCGGGGCGGCGTCCTCGCCTCAGGTCCTCGGGAGCCCTCCCTGCCGATGACAGCTCTGACGCGGTGCGTGCCCGCTTCGCCGCCGGTTCTGTCTGCCCCGCCTCGGGCCTCGCGGCTGCAGGAAAGCTCGAAACCGCCATGGCGTTCCCCGCGGAAGCAGACCCATGGGACGCCCGGGGAAGAGTTAGATTGGAGTTGCACAAGGCAATCCCCACTTGATATTGGTTAATCACTGAGAGAACAGGGGGGGTTCTGCCAATTGTGTTTAAGTGGATCTTTACAGATCCCACCTTTGATCAGTGTCGTTCGTTCATATGATGGATCACGTGAGAATTTTCAGATTTTCAATGAGTATCTATTTTCACCTCATACTTCGCCGTATTAAAGATGAAGATGCAACTTAAAGAGATGAAGATTATACGATGGCCCTTTAATAAAAAAATGACACTGTATTTTATATCCAAATCATTCTACTCAATACATTTCATCTGCAGGCTAATATGATGATACCCCTATTAAGTCATTTAAGATTCGTGCAAAACATTTAAGTGGATGTACCGATGCAAAACTCTGTGCGATGACTCTCATTCTCCCCTCCCTTATGACGATTCTCTATGATCATATTGCGGCATAGTGGCAAGATCAGACCGTGTGTGTCAGTGCACTGTGTTATGGGGGTGGGGCTATCAATATCGGCAATGGACGCGGCGGGGACTTTCAAACGGACGACCAACTGCCCCTACACGTGAGCACTGGGGCGAGTCATAACTTGGTCTCACCTCTGGCCCGACTCTACTACGCCAGTCGGCAAATTTAACAAATTTGACCTGTGGACGAAATCAAATCACAGAATGAACTGTCCGTGAAACTATTTCACGCGGCTGATCTTTTTGTGTAACGCCTTCGTGTCGGGTGTCACACAAAAAGGTCAGCCGCGTGAAATAGTTTCACGGGCAATTCATTCTGTGATTTGATTTCGTCCATAGGTCAAATTTGTCAAATTTGCCACGCTAGTCAAGCACTGTAGTTGTGGCGTACCGTTTTTCCCTATTGCTTTATTGTCGTGCCTTTTACCATTTGCAAACGTTTTCTTCGGTCGTCCCTTTTCTTCTATTCTTTGTTTCCTTTTTCAGTTTTCTTCAGTATTTTTATTTTTATATTGATATTTTATTTCATTTCTTCTTTATTAACACATGTATTTTATTTTTATACACATTGTACAATTTTCTAGTTCACCAGAAACAATTCGTATACATGCTTAACATTTCCTAAATACATGAATAATATTTTCTAACATATGTATCGATATCTATTCTTTCATACAGATAGTACATTTTATTATACATATACATATTTTATATACGTTTAAATTTTTTGATACATGATTAATATTTTTTTTTTCAAATACATGTTTTAAATACTAGTTTTAATATGTGCTAAATATTTTTAAATAGTATTGAAACATTTTTTGAGTGATAAAACCATTTCTTAAATTATGGGAACATTTTTATGTTGTATAACTATTTTTGAAAAATATCACTTACGGTGTCTTGTATCAGGGGTACCATAAGCCATCGAAAGTCTGTCCGAGTAAGCCGACCATGGGCTCATGCCACTACCCGGCTCCACCTGCCATCCGGCCTGTAGGCTTCCTGCGTAAAGATACCTCATTTCTTGTAATACGATACATATACCTTACTTGGGGTTCAAGCCATATAATACGACTTCCACTCTTGTAACCCTACCCCTTGTCCACGTATATAAGTGGAGTAGTGGCCTCCCAAGTTCCAAGTTCACACCTTCAAGCCCACGGGATCCTATAGATCCGACCTACTCCCTTTGTTCCTAAATATTTGTCTTTTTAGAGATTTCAAATGAAATATCGTATACGGATGTATATAGACATATTCTAAAATAGATTTATTCATTTTGCTTCGTATTTAGACGTTTGTTGGAATCTTTATAAAAACAAATATTTAGCAACGGAGGGAGTACATCTCTATTCTCTCATATGAAAATATATCAATACAATCAGAAGGTGGCATCGGAGTATTATTAAATCTAGTATGGGAGTCGGATCTGAGCGGCGTCACCGATGTCTGGGCACAAAAGAGCCGAGTCACTTTCATGCTCAAGCTTCATATTTTCACCCGATTTTTCATTAATAGTAAACGATAATTATGTAATGCCGAAACTGGTAAAGGGCCCGTGGAAATTGTAAAAATAGGAAGGACGCCATGAATAACAGCGTCCAGGATGGACGCTGTTGCGTCTAGGTTTGGACACTAGTATGAAAGGCGTCCAGTCATGCCGTTCCGTTGGTGCTCTGATTAGGCTCAATCGAGTCATTTTCCACTTATAGATAGAGGTTTCATGACTTATAAAACCTAATATGCATGCAGCTGTCGCTCCTTACCACGCAGGGTTGTAAGCAAGCTCTAGCGCAGGTATCACCAATCATCAAAGGAGCAACATCGTCTCACTGGCCACTCGTCATTAGGATCATTCACTCATCATTAGGATCATCCACTCGACCTATGGATGGCGCATGTGAGTTGTTCCAGGCCCTCGTTGAATCTTCTTTGCTTAGTATTTTGTACAATTTATCCAGTGGTTACAAGGGTACATTGTATATGTCGTGGAATAGTCACATCAGATGTCCTTGTGAAAGGACTTAGTTTTGGAGCCATCGCAACTAGGAAGCTTGAAGGGGTTAAATCGGGACAAGGGACACGAAAGAGTTTATACTAGTTCGGCCCCTTACAGTGAAGGTAAGGCCTACGTCTAGTTGGGTTGGTATTGATGTTTCGATAACCAGGGAGCGAGACACGCTATGCCCGGTTCTCGATGAGTTGTTTCTTGCCCTAAGTCGCCCGCAGGTCGTCCCCTTATATACACGGGTTGACACCTGCGGCTTACAGAGTCCCGGCCGGCTTATAAACAGAGTCCGGCTCGGTGACCAGTTAAATCTACCTTACATTACAAGTCATGCCATCATGGCGGTTTACTACAATGGGCTTAAGCCGCCCGTGGGCCTTAAGCTCCTTATTGAACCGCCATCTTTATGCTTGGTCTTGGGCTTCCTCCGATGAGTACTCTCTGCGTAACCCGACCCCTCCTGGGCGGCTTACACAAATAGTCATATCCCCAACATTAGGCTCCGGATTGATTTGAACCTGTTCATGTCAATCTAAAGAATATTTGTAAATAATTAAATCTTCAGTCTTCTGACTATACAGAGGGTTTTTGTTAACCCGTCATGACGTCATCTTCTGGATCCGTCTTAACCCGGCGTGACGTCATCCTTCCTTTAACTCATTTTTTATTCCACCGAATCCTTTCAACGGATCTCTTCTTTACTGACTGTTCCGAAAATCGAGGCGTCGGGGCCGCTGGATAATAATTGTTATCTCCACGTTTCCCGCGCCATCTCAGTCATCTTCTCCTTATAAATAGCCACGACTCGGGTCCTTTCCCTTTTACCCTTTCAGTCGTCTTCTTCCTCTCCTTTCTGCCTCTCAAGCTCCGCCGTCGTCACCATCGACCCCCTCGTCTTCGTCGACTCAGGCCGCTGCATCAACCTGACTGTAACCAGAGATCGACGGCGAGCCTCCGCAGCTCAATCTCATCCGTGAGTTCTTTTCTTCCCTTTCCTTAGACCTATCTTGAAGCTCCGCCAAGTTCATCAGGTTCATCGCCGCCCGATGCGAATCCTTGCTAGATACACTTCCACAGCCTGTTTAGATTGTAAAAATTGTGCAGAACTGCTGCGGTAGCTGTTTGCGTTGATCTTATACAGAAATAGATCTCATTTTTCTTATTTAAAAGCCTCCTTTGGAT